AGCATTGCCATGGCAATATTTTAAATAAAGCCACTTGTACAGTTCCTCAGAAAATCTCTGTATAAAATCAGCATCAGGCTGGTTTGCGACCTGTCCAGAAAAAGCATGAAGATCTGCCCCACTCAGACCTGACTTTTCAGATACAAAGGAACACACTTATTTGAATTTTTGTATCATTTTTGTGAATTGGCGCCAGTTAGAAGGCAAGATGACTGCAACATGACAGTCTCTGAAAGAAATCTATATAAAAATTGAAATAGTAAAGGAATTTGCCTTTCACAGCAAACACAAATATAATCATATATGCTTGGTGAGATGGCTGTAGATTTTTTTTCTGGAGGTGGACCACCATTCATGACTCCATAATACTTTAGGTGAGACTACAATAACATACTTTGTCTGAGTATGTCTTGACATACTTTGTCAAGATTTTCGCTGATACAAAATTTAAGCAGCCTTCAGATGGTGGTTAGTCATCAGGAGAACATCCAGCAGCAGTATGTGGGCCCAGTTTGAGGTGTTTGATTGGTTGGGATCTACAAAGGATGAAATGGACTAGGCCTATCAGCATTTCTTTCAGACTGCTTACTCCTCCAGATTTGTTAATTACCTTCAAGATTGATTTGGGACAGCCTTCAAAATTCATGGATTATGCACAATTAGGATCAGAAATTTTCTTAAGGTTGCAGCTGCCAAGATTTGTGGGTATAAAAGGTTTATATAGGCTAAAATATGCCCAGCAGTGTGTTAGCATGATTAGACCTTTTTGTGTTTTATTGGTTCGAGATACATTTTTCCATCCTTGGACCCTATATTGGCCATAGAGGCCCTTATAAGTGGAAAAAAATATTTATGGAACATATAAAGTGGTTTTCCTGTAGTAGTTCAGTAATTTTTAGATGCCTCCAGGAGGATTACAAACTTTGTGGAAACCCCATTTTGGGGAAAGCTAGATTTGCTTAATATCTTTATCTGCAGCTCTAAAAGGCAAAGAAACTATTAATCTAAAATGTAATTTAAAAAGGGGAGATTGTGGGGGAAAGTGTAACACACCTCAGGTCCAAGATGGACTACATGCAAAGAGTTTAAGAAACACCAACCTGTATAGAATCATGGAATCACAGCATAATGGAGTTGTAAGGGGTCTATAAGGCCATCAAATCCAACTCTGCTTAATTCAGAAATCAAGTCAAAGTGTATCTGATAAAAATGGTTGTCTAACATGCTCTTGAATGCTTCCAGTGTTGCAGCACTTACCAGCTCCTAAAGTACTTGGTTCCATTGCTCTAACAAGAATTTTTTTCCTGACAGTGAACCAAAGTCTAGTTTCCTGTAATTTGAGCCCATGATTACTATGTGTCCTGCAGTCTCAGATGATCTGTAGAACAGATCCTGACCATCTTCTGCATGACAATCTTTCAAGTCTTTGAAAAGTACTATCATATCTCCGTCTTCTTCCAAGTCTTTGAAAAGTGCTATCATATCTCCGTCTTCTTTTCTCAAGGCTAAGAAATATTTTCCCAGTCTATTAGCCAAGTTCCCCAAGGTGACTGTGGAAGTTAAAAAGAGAGATTAGTGGCTCTCTTCTTTGGCTAGCTTGGGTGTTTATGGCTGGTAATGCGACTGCACTGGCTGCTGGAGCCACACAAGCCTATTAGCAGTGCTGCCTGGCTGTGCTGGATGAGGAGCCTTCACAACTCTCCTCTGCAATCCAATGCTTTTTATTTGAGTTGAGACTCCTGCCTGCAACTCCATGACATATAAGACAACCTCCCTTGTCTCATATGTCATGAGTTGCTTACTTGGTTATAGGGGCCAGGGAGACATTTCTTCCATGGATTTTTCTTTTGCCTTCTTCATAGCAGTCCATGTGTTTCTATGATCCACTTTTATTTTTCTCTTATGGTTTCCATGTGAGGTGTTGTGGGATTTAGACAAAATCCATTCTGAGGATAAGTGGAAGCTCATGCCTGATATGCAGAAGGGGGATTCCCTTAAGGGTAACCCAGGTGTTCTTTGACTGCAGCTCCCAGAAAGAAGCCTTCACCACTAAGCTGTGCTGCCTGGGGTTTCTGGAGCTGCCATCAGATAAAGTATCGTAGAATATTCACAGAATATAGAATGGATATATTCCCAGTGCTTGGGTGTGGTGAGGGGGGAAGTTTGGGAAAAGGGAATAGAGAGAGCAGAGGTTGGGTGGGGATGCAGCACAGAGAGGGAAAAAGCAAGGTTTCAAACCCAGGCAAAACTGTTGCAAGCTGAAGGAAGAAGAGAAAAATCAGCCTGAAAGAAAAATAATAGGGGTGGGGTGGTACTGATGGGTTTCTAACCAGGTACATTTGCTAGTAAGTGAATAGATCGACAAGGAATCTGTTCTTATATTGTGGCATCTTTTGATCCAGATGCTATTGAATAATATTGCCCATCTCATGAAGGAAGATACAAGGCAAGGACATTAAAGCAGGCCAATAAAATATAATATAATAACTGGCAATGCAGAGAAAATGTTTACAGTTCTGAGAAGGCTCTCTCTATGCCCTCACTGGCGATGCTTCAGTGTCTCTGAGGAATACAGCAATTGATCGTGAAATGGATTCCTCATTCCAACTGTGGAGAAAATAATAATAGACATGTTAGGTTGCTCAAATAGGTTTACAAAGATAAAAGATTTAGACATGACTCAGTTAATGTTGACATTCAAGACCGGCCAGTATGGTGTAGAATTCAGAGTGCTAAAGTGGGACTTGGAAGAAACAGCTTCTACACTCTGCTGAGTGGCCTTGGGCCAGTCACACTTTTTCAGTCTGATCTCCACAGGTTTGCTGTGGGGATAAAGTTGTGAGGGGGAAAATCAGATGGCCCCACAAAATGGAAGATATGTCTCAGGCACCCTTAATCATTGCATAAACGAAATTTTATCTGGCATTTCCGTTTTTACCCAACAGTTAAAGATATACAGGGCTTGAAAAATTTTAGAATGTCTCAGCAGTCAGCACAACTGGACTATAGCTCTGCAATTTATTGGGAATAAAGGGCTTGAAAAATTTTAGAATGTCTCACGACTGGACTATAGCTCTGCCATTTATTGGGAATAACTGATTTATACCCTCAGACTTGGGTTGCTTTGTTACCTGCATGCCTGTGGGGTCATGAAGCTTGTACAGTGGTGCCTCGCTTGATCATCGCTAAGCAAAAAACTCAAACAAACAAACAACAACAACAACCCATCTGAACATCGTGAAGCGATCGCAAAAGTGATCGCAAAACTTCAATGTTAAGCGGATTCATTGCAGAGCGGGGTAATCGTCCAGCGGGGCACGACTGTATTTTGAATGCTTTTCTTTCTAATGCGAGGAATCCATCCCTAACACAGTGGGGAGCCATTTTCTTCAGCCGGAGGCCATTTTGAAACCCGACAATCAGCTGTTTGCTGATCGTCGTAAAGCGGAAAATCGGTTCCCGAAGCAGGGAACCGATCATCGCTAAGCAAAAAAACAAAACAAAACAAAAACACCAAAAAAACCATCTGAACATTGTGAAGCGATAGCAAAAGTGATCGCAAAACTTCAATGTTAAGCAGATTCGTTGTAGAGCGGGGTAATCGTCCAGCGGGGCATGGCTGTATTTTGAATGCCTTTCTTTCGAATGTCTCCAGCAAAAATAAAACCGAAAGCAAAAGTGCCCAGCCTCTTAAGGAGCCACGGTTCCCTCCCACCCCAGGATGTGTCCTCGTTCGGTTGAAATTGGGAGTGGGGAATCTCCATATTCTCCAGCATGGGACTACCCTACATTCTCCTGCAGAGCTATATCTCTGTACCGAGCAAACACTCTTCTCGCAAGAAGAGGGCAGTTTTTCTTTTGCAATGGGAGGGGGGAGGGGGACTGCAGGATTAGAGAGAGACCATTTTTCACTCATCACAGACAAGTGGACAGGTGCATTTTGCAAGCCCTGAAGATATAGGAGGCCTCTCTTCTATTTCATGCAGCCACCCTAAGGAACAGTCCTATTATATACCGCTTTTGACTCTTTGGAGGAAAGGTGGGCTATAAATATAAATAATCAATTAAACAAATCCCACAGTTACCCAATTCCAGCAATAATCTGTGAAGACATTTCTTGCACAACATTCAACAGGGAAATATCACTACTAGTATCATATTTCCTGTCCATGTTTTGAGCTTGATGGTGGGAGCTGTGACTCTTCCAGCAGAATTTTTCACTCATCACAGACGAGTGGACGAGTGCATTTTGCAAACCCTGAAGATATAGGAGGCCTCCCTTCTATTTCATGCAGCCACCCTAAGGAATAGTCCTATTATATGCCACTTTTGACCCTTTGGAGGAAAGGTGGGATATAAATATAAATAATGAATTAAACAAATCCCGCAGTTACCCAATTCCAGCAACAATCTGTGAAGAAATTTCTTGTGCAACATTCAACAGGGAAATATCACTACTAGTATCATATTTCTTGTCCATGTTTTGAGCTTGATGGTGGACTTCTAAGCATAGCTGGGTGTTTTTCCCCCTACAGCTCCCATGTTGGCTGAAGGTTCTAAGAGTTGCAGTTGAGAAACTAACTTTTCCAAGAGCTGCTTATAACAATATGTGTAATTCAGGATGTTGAACCTTGTGGGAACCATTTCCAAGCAACAGGATGCTCTGATGGTAATTCAACTCCTTTGCTGGCATCTTCTTAGGGAAGGAAACAAAAAATTAAAAGAGATGGTATTTCAGCAGTGCCTCCAAGGGAGCAGTGGGTTTTAATTTAATTAAGAAGAGTATAGATATGGGGTGATAAGGCAGTTGTATAATTTCAGTGTCCCCTCCCCTCTCTATCCAGACTGGGTTCTCTTAATGCATGCTTTGGCATCAGAAAGGACATTCCAATTGCACAGTATTTATTCAATATAGCATGGAGTTTGTCCCACAAGGAAAAGGGGCACCTTCTTTGACCTTTTCTCTTATTAACACCCACTCGCTTCACATCCTGTCTTACCTCCCTGGTTGGTGCCCCCTGACGGCGCAGCTGCTCCATCTTCTCTTCATGCTGACGCTGACGCTCGTTCTCATCATGTTCGTATTTAAGCCTCGTCAGCTCAAACTCCATCCGCCTCTTCTCCAGCTCGGTCTCGATGGCTAGGTCCAGTCGGCTGCTTGACCACTCAGTCTCTGCTCCACTTACCACGATGCGGGGCACCTGCAGACCCAGGTGTTCAGTCACCCCACTGTTCTTCTGTTCAAGTGGGTCCTGTGCCTTTTCCACCTCAGGCTTATTGTCTGCTTGCTGCTGGGCCTTTGTGCCTTCCTGGTGACTGCCCTGCTCTAACGGGTGCTTTTTTTCATTAATCTCTGGCAGGTAAACTTCCATGGCCAACTGGAGCTCTATCCTCATCTTCCCCAAGTCTGCAAAAGTCCCAGGGGTTGTCTCAGCCACGGCATCTCCCACACCACCATTGGAAGCTTTCTGGCTGACCAGTCGGAAATTCCCTTGCCTCTGCCTCACGTGCTCCATCTTCTCTTCATGCTGCCTCTGTTTCTCCTTGTCTTCATAGATCTTCCGCTCGTGCTGCCTCTGCCGCTCATTCTCCTCCGAGATGTGCCTCAGTTTGGCCAGTTCAAATTCCATGCGCATCTTCTCCAGTTCAATTTCTGTGATGGGGTCTAACGGGCCACCCAGCTGCTGGTCTTCTCCATGAGGTCCAGATCTAGATGGCAATTGATGGCGGATGTGTTCCATCTTCGCCTCATGCTGCCGCTGTTTGTCATTCTCCTCATGTTGACGCTTCAACATGGCCAGCTCAAATTCCAAGCGCATCTTCTCGATGTCAGTGTCAGTGCTATGGGCCTCCTTGGTTTTTCCCTGCTCTTTTTCCTCCTCCTCCTCCTCCTCACTCTTGTCATCTTTCTTATCTTCTTTGGCAACCACTTCTACTTGCAAAGGGCTGTTTGCGATATCTAACTGTCTCCTAGCCTCAAACGGTGTCCACTGGTCTCCATTAGCCAGAGCATCAGCTGCACCAGCAGGAATGGCAGGAGCTATTGGTGCATCTGCGTTGTTATCCTAAAACACATGGGAAGGGGGTGTGTGTAAGGCATGCATTTCTGAGAGGAGGTGACTCATAAAGTCACATTTGGAAAATATTTCTTTTTGTAACCCATTCAGAGGCCTTTAATGTGTTGGGTCAAAGAGGTTCTGTGGCACCAAATCAAGCGATACTAGCATCCCATTACTGTACTATGGAAACATGTGGGTATAATAGAGAATGTGAATATTGTCCCAGAAGTAGTTCAAGCTAGTTCACCACAGAATATTCTCAGTAGAATTACCGACAAGATGGAGAGGGAGCAAGGGAGAGGAAGAATACTTCAGGGCACATAGCACTAACAGAGTCAAAGATCAGCAGTACTTTAATTTTACATCATTGATTCAGGAGTCTCAAAAATGAGCTGCATCCATAGTGCTGAAGGTGAAGAAGAGTGCAAACTTCTTGCACATCCATTATGTTCCTACAGGGGCAATAGTGATAGAGACAGGTACCCTGTTTCCCCGAAAATAAGACCTCACCTGAAAATAAGCCCTAGTATGGTTTTTCAGGATGCTCGTAATGTAAGCCCTACTCCCAAAACAAGCCCTAGTTAAGTGAAACCCCACCTTCCACCATTGTGCAGCAACCAGAAGAAGCCATGACTGTAAAATAAAACACCCCCTGAAAAGAAACTCTAATGTGTTTTTTGGAGCAAAAATCAATTTAAGACCCTGTCTTATTTTGGGGGAAGCATGGTAGTTAGAGTTCCCGCATGTGTTCCCTGTTTATACTGTCTACTCCTCAGTTTGGGCTGCAAGTCACACTTATTGGAGAAGCTGCCCTAAAAGATGGCTTTATTCCCTTTGTTAATCAAGGAGGGATCTTAGCTGACTCTACCTTCATCATTCTGTCATAAATACTAAAGCAAATATTTTTGGAATTATTTTTCAGCCTTGTATACTGCCTTTAAGGCGTTTGGCTGGGAGAAGGATTTCTGGGCAGGGTGACTGTCTATCAATCCAACAGTAACCAATTGTTACTCTGATTTTTAAAGAGAGTCATGCCTCTCTGCTTAAAAGTCCTTTCCCCCTTCTTTCTTAGTCAGTTTATTATGTGATAGTCACCTGGCAGTTATGATGTTAGTCATGTAGTTATGAGTCAGTTAAGGCCTATTTGTGTAACTAAAATACGCCAGTTTTGATCTGTGAAGAACTGTGAGTAAATGTAACAGTTTATTCTTTCTCTTACCAGTGTCTCCAGTTATTGAGACTCTAAGTGTTAGTTGATGAAAACCAGTAAGGGATGGTCTGCTGTGTGGAAACCTGAAGCTAATTTGGCTCTGTAAGTTCCTGCACTTTCTGCTGCATATCTAGAGATTTTAAACCTAAAGTTCAACACTCTCCCAATAATTATAACACACATGGGAGAATAGTATATGTTGTATGATAGGCAAACAGCCTGTAGCATGCAAGTGATTTTTAAAAAGAATCAAAAAAATTATTAGTTTTCTTTACTCTTGGAAAGTGAAAGAAGCTACTCTTGTTTACTTTGGAATTTTAGCAATACAGTAGCTCAATACTTCTTAAAAGTAATTTTCTTTGCTCTATGGGAGATGCATTTCTATGTAAAGTAAAATTATTATTTCTAAATTTGCATCTCTTAACATCTCTTAACATAAATGAGTATCTGTTAACATAAATTAGATTTTATGCATTTTCTCCATTTGGGAGCATTGCATTTCTTCCTGTGTAAATAGTTGTTCCTTCTATTATTGTAAATGCGTATGTTAAGGTAAATTCCACATTTTTTTTTTGAGTGACTGAATTTGTAGTTATTCTTTTTCTCATGGATGCTACCAGGACCTGCAAAATTCACAAGATAATCTCTGTTTGGACCTGGAAGAACCAAGCTCAGACCTAACTCATACTGCAGTAATATTGCATGAAATACATATTAACTTGCTGAAATGAAGATTTTTGTTACGAAATAGCATAGGATTTTGTAAGCAGCAAACTTCTTTGTTCAAATGCTGAGACGAAACTGGAAAGGCAGAAGGAAGATTCAGTTAAAAAGACAGACATGAAGAAACAATTCAAAAGTCCTTAAAGGGACACAAATACCCTGTTTCCCTGAAAATAAGACCTAACCTGAAAATAAGTCCTAGTATGATTCTTCAGGATTTTCGTAATATAAGCCCTACCCCAAAAATAAACCCCAGTTAATTAAAACCACGGCCTCCACCATTGTGCAGCAACCAGAAGATGACATGACTGTATTTGAATAAATGTAGATGACTGTACATAAATAAAATAAAACAACCCCTGAAAATAAGCCCTCATGCGTTTTTTGGAGCAAAATTTAATATAAGTCCCTGTTTTATTTTCGGGGAAACACAGTAGTGACAAGGAAATTTTATAATGGGCAAAACAATTATAATCTCAAGATCTAATCTCTTATTAGATTTCACAGAACTCATAGGATGTCTCTGTGTAGGCCAGTGGCTGTCGCCCAGCATGAGGATAAAATGAATGTGGCGTGGTGGACCGTGTACATTGTCTGGAGAACCTTGAAGGAAAGATGAGAGATCATAGTGGCATTTAAAATAATAATAATAAAACGGGGGAAAATAGAAGTGAATGCTAAGCTCTTACCATCAAGAACTTGAAGACAAAGACAAGAAGCTTGGCTACAGACACAATCTGCCAGTCAGCCCCTTCCCCTTCTGTCAGCTACCCAACTGACGTGGGTTCACAAATCCCGACCACTCAAGTACACATTCTAAGCCAACTGTCTTGGATGATGTCATACGATTCCACATTCACCTCCCTTCACACTTAGTACTTCTGGAAAAAGTACAGTTGTTTTGCTAAGGAATTCAGCCTGGTTTGTTGCATTTCCATGGGAGAGCAACCTGGCATGTAGAAGGATCCAGATTTAATCCCAGGCATCTCTATTTCAAAAGCATGGGAAAGATCTAAGACCCAAGAGCATTCCTACCAACTATCTAGGGCTGACTCTGCCGTTAAGCAGAGTGAGATGGTTGGATGAGGTTGCAGGTATGAGGAGGGGGCAGTAAGGTGTTGGTGGAGACAGCTGCACACCATGCAACTTTCCCCGTGTTCCCAAAGCTAGGCTGCTGCCTTCACGTGTTTTCAGGTTTTAGTGAATCCAGCCCGCCATGGTCTAAAAGCTAACTATAATGTTATAGTCAGCCTGCAGAAGAAGTGAGCTTATTCCTAATTACATCACAATCAACTTAGTTATACCTTTGTTACTGGGAAAAATAATCAATTACAAGCAACTAGTTATTCATAATTATTATCTGTAACTAGTTACTTCTGAACTCTGAAAGCCCCCCAAACCAGTTCCTTTTGGAAAGTCCCTGTGCCCTGTTCATTTCTTTGCTGTAACTTGGCCAGATGACAGAAGCAACAATTCTGTGTTTCCATAGGTCTCTATTTTCCCCTCTTTCCTCCACTTAAAACATTGGAACTGCAATGTAATTTCCACAGGGCAATAAGGCTTCAGAGCAGATGCCTTTTTCCTTGGAAATGACATATCCCTGGACTTCTTGTGCCTGGGATGTCTGTGTGAACCTATATTTCCAGGGTCCCTGGAAAAAGGGACAACATTATTCTGTTCCAGAACCCCTGGAGAGATGGAGGTTCAGCACCTATAACCTCCAATTATATATTTAAAAAAATCTTACTTTACAATACAGGAACCAGGTCATCATAAATCTTACTTACCTGCAAATGCATTTTCCACATCCACTTATTTAATGGCTAAAGAAACAATGGCCAAAATCCTGTATTTATTTTGTTTTGTTTCATTTTTGCTGAAGAAGATCGTATATTATGCCTATGTAAAGGAAATGATGTCATCAGCAAGGGGAGATTGCTGGTAATTAAAGATTTTATCCTATTTTATAGCTTACACCTTCAGCTGATTTGCAATCAGTCTCGTTGCCAGTAAGCTGGGCAAATCCTGACACTGAAAGGGGGACCCTTTAATTACTGGCATTGTGGTGATGGTGATGACATCATCCAAAAAGGGAAATGCTGGTATTTAAAGAGTTCCTCCCAGGGCTTGCCAGACTTGCTTCCAATGAGACTGTTAGCAGGCTAATTGTGTCAGCCCCCAAACTGAAGGCAGCACACTTTAATTAAAAGTAATCTCTCCATGCCAATGCAATTGTTGCCCTTATAATAATAAATGATAAATCTATTCTCAGAAGAAAATTTGTAACATGTATATGTATTAAGCTTGAGACTTAGAAAACCTTGTTTAAGACCCGGAGGTAGGAGTGGTTAGTGAGGTGGCCATATCTGCTTATGGCACTAAATATTTTAGGGCAGTAAGAACTGGAACAGACTGCAAAGAGCTTCCAAAATTATCTCTCCAAATTCAGTGCAAACAGGTGTAATGTGCTATGTAAATATGTTTTTAAAAACCAACTCAGTAATACTTGCACAAACTAATGGGTTGGCAGTAACAGACCAAGAAAGGAATCTTGAGACTGCTGTAGACAGCTTGATGAAAATGCCGAACTGTCCTCTGTGTGGCTGCTATTTAAAAAGCCAAATGGTCTATTGGGCATAATTAGACAATGCATACAAAATTAAAATTGGCCAATATGAAATATTGTCCTCATATAAATCCACAGTGCAAATCCACATCTGGAATACTGATCACCATGGGGGGGGAAGGGGGGAGATATTGTAGACCTAAAGAAGGTTTACGAAACATGAACCAGAATGATTAAGTCCTTATGATGAAAGGTTGCAATATGTGGGGCTCTTTGTTTTAGGGAAACACTGAGCAAATGAGATGTGAAGGAATTGTATAAATGGATGCATGGCATGGGGAGAAAAGATAGGAGGAGCTCATCCACAAAAGCTGAATGGTAGGAGATCCAGGACAGACAAAAGAAAATACTTTTGTTGTATTCACAGAGGCTTTTGTTGGCTTGTGGCAGTGCATAGTTAAATTGTGGGATTCACTGCCTCAAGCTGTAAAGACGATTAGCAAATTAGACAGATTAGACAGATTGAAATGGGGATTGAATCCACCAAGATAAAGGCTGTCAAGGTCTACTCATCAGGGCAACTGTGTATCACCTCCAGTATCAGAGTAAGCCCCCGTTTACCAGTTGTTGGGGAATGGGAAATAAGGGGTGCAGTTGCAGTGATTCCCTGCTGGGCAGTTGCCCCAAAGCAACTCATCGGCAAGTGTACACACAGAGTATTGGATCAGATAGACTCTTGGTCTGAAGTGCCATAGCTTTTCTTGTATTAAGTCTGCCCAGAAGTTGAAGAATCAAGAAAACGACTGCACGTTCCTAAGAGAGCTCTCAAGACTGGAAAGAACATTCAGTCAGCCAAGGAAAAGCAAAGATGAAGGTTTCCTACTAACCCTTTGCCAGCCCATTATAAAAGAAAAACAAAGCGGTGAAATGCAAAGAACAGATAAAAGAAAGCATCTTTTGGCACTTTAAAACTGACAAATGTAACTTGACATAAGATTTCATGGGCTGCAAGCCGCTTCTTTGGATGCCCAGAACGGAGCATCAGTCAACAGACATTAATACATACATGCACAAACGTCTGTTCACAGGGTTGTGCTTTGTTCTTCTGGAGGAGGGGGGTACAATGCAAAAAGTGTTCAAGACTCTCTGTTGTTTTATGATGAGAGTAACACAGCAGCCCCCTCAGAAATTTCTGAAGAGGAATAAATAAGGTATGTGTTGACAGTAGGTTGGATAGATGAAGTATTAACAGAAACACAGTAGGTGATGACATGAAATATACCTATAAACTGGAAAGCATCGGTACAAGAGCAAGAGGGGCCAGTCCACTTTCCAGATGACAGCCCATCCTCCCCATGGGTTTAAAAACATCCTAATTTATTTTTCTCCAGTTGCATTTAGGTGACTTCTGCATAAATTCAGCCAGAGATAAACATACATAGGATTGCAAACCAAATATTCTCAGGAGAATATGGAAATCTAGTAATCTACCAGGCTTGAAGTGTAGAGAATCTCCTCATACAAGCCACGAAGCTGTAAAATAAAGAACATTTCGCTTCCATTTCCAAAAAACTTTTCAAACAAAATAAAATTTCAATACTGCATGTCCTAACCAAGGAAAGGGCATGGCTGGATTTGAATTTATTCTTAACATAAAACCTCTGTGCCATTGATAGCTTTCTTCTTCCCCTTTGCATCTCTCATACTTGTATTTTACCTATTTATCCTAGTTAGACTGTTTCTGTTTATTGAGCCACCACTGGGAAAACAGAACAAATATGTAATGTAAATTCCAGGAGGACTAAAGGTTTATGCATAGAAATATTACTACATATTAAAAAAAATCATCTTCTGCCCAGATCATGTACAAGGCCAGATGAGCCATCAATGGTCAAGAGCACTAAACTGTTGAGATAAATTAGTTCTGAAGTAATTGCAGAGTGCAAACAGAATTAACAGCAAACTGAACATATTTTGTGGATGTTATTCTTCAAAGATGATTCTGAGTCACAGTATTTTAGTAGGCCCTTCTTCTTCAGTGTGACTCCAGCACATAGAATATCAACGACTGATGGAACATTTCCCCTTGGTTTTCTTACCTCTTGGACTCAATGAAACTACTGCTTAAGAGAAAACATGCCAAGCATGGATTGTTTTTTAGACCATTGAGGCCAAGGTCAGGACACCTTCTGCTGTGATCTCTACTCCAATTATCTCCTCCTCCTCCTCCATTCAGCTTGACTATGAATACTCTGCTGTATCTACCTAGAGGTTCCCAACCTGTGTTCAGATTCACTGTTGCTTACAGCCAAGCAGGAGTATATAGGACTAAGCTAGAGATAGGATATTTGTATTCATCTCCCATATTCACAGTATAAAATCTCCCATATTCACAGTAAAAAAAAAAGCCTACACAGAGAGGTTCCCAACCTGTGTTCAGATTCACTGTTGCTTACAGCCAAGCAGGAGTATATAGGACTAAGCTAGAGATAGGATATTTGTATTCATCTCCCATATTCACAGTATAAAATCTCCCATATTCACAGTAAAAAAGCCTATACTATGAAAATTCAGTGAAATATTTATAGGTCCAAAATATCTTTCAAAGTGTATATTTAATTAAACTTGTATCCACAGAAGCACCAATGCATCTATAACCAGGCACCCTTGGTATTGCACAAAGTAATACAATTTTTTTTTACAGGGAAACAGGAAGAAAAATAGTAAACAAGGAAATTATACGCAGTGTTCCCATTTCTCTTTGAGTCTGTGATAGTGCCCTTGGGATACTGGCGGCATATTGTTTCTATTGTTCATTGCATTCTTGCACTGCAGGCTTGGAAAGATATATGGAAGAAATGCATAAAGAACAAAATGGTGGCAAGCGGGTGCTGCAACTTATACCTCGCTTGAGGATAAGCCCTGTTTCTCAGTCCCATTTCTTAGCAAAGCAAGAATACTGATGGCTTACCTCAGAAAATCTTGATAGCACAAAAAGAAGAAAATGTGTTATCTTGAACTTGAAGAGCAGAGGCAGTTTTAACATTTGAATATCAACATTGTGATCTGATGTACTGAGAATTTTTTGTGGTATAACAAAGCCTCTGTCAGCGATGTGATGAACTTCCCTAAGAACAGAGAAGGATGGGGCTTTTCGTTTGCATTTGCTGCTATTGGTTAGTCTCCTCTGATTCTAGAGCAGCCTAGTCTGATCTCGTACCTTCCAGGTATATTAAGCTACAAATCCCATCATCTGTAGATACTGCCGCCATGGACGTTACTGACTAGGAATGACAGAGGTTGTCAACTGGGCTGGTGAACCTGGGGCCACTTTCCCATATTGCTTGACTTCACCTCCCATCATCTTTCATCATTGGTAGTGGTGACTAATGGAAGTTGTAGTTTATCTGCATATGGAGAGCCACCCATTCCAGTCCTTGAAATAAGCCATGATTCTCTGGTAGCTCACTGAGATAGAAAAAAGAGAGAGAAGAGGAAGAAGTGAGCGAGAAAACAGTGTGTCAGAGTGTGAAAGAGAAAGAGTGGAAGATGGGGATTTGCTTGACTGACTTTGGCAATGTCACTGACCACCACTCTCTTCAGGTCTGCTGCATAGAGGCATTGTTGTTGTTTAGTCGTTAAGTCATGACCCCATGGACCAGAGCACACCAGGCCCTCCTGTCTTCCACTGCCTCCCGGAGTTGGGTCAAATTCATGTTGGTAGCTTCGATGACACTGTCCAACCATCTTGTCCTCTGTCATTGCCTTCTCCTCTTGCCTTCACTCTTTCCCAACATCAGGGGCTTTTCCAGGGAGTCTTCTCTTCTCATGAGATGGGCAAAGTATTGAAGCCTCAGCTTCAGGATCTGTCCTTCCAGTGAGCACTCAGGGATGATTTCCTTCAGAATGGATAGGTTTGATCTCCTTGCAGTCCAGGGGACTCTCAAGAGTCTCTCCAGCACCACAATTCAAAAGCATCAGTTCTTCGGCTGTCAGCCTACTTTATGGTCCAGCTCTCACTTCCATACATTGCTACTGGAAAAACCATAGCTTTGACTATGTGCATCTTTGTCAGCAAGGTGATATCTCTGCTTTTTAAGATGCTGTCAAGGTTTGTCATCTCTTTCTCCAAAGGAGCAGGTGTCTTTTAATTTCGTGGCTGCTTTCACCACCTACAGTGATGGAGCCCAAGGAAGTAAAATCTGTCACTGCCTCCATATCTTCCCCTTCTATTTGCCAGGAGGTGATGGGACCAGTGATCATGATCGTAGTTTTTTGATGTTGAGCTTTAGACCATTTTTGGTGCTCTCCCTCTTACACTCTCATTAAGAGATTCTTTTAATTACTCCTCACTTTTGGCCATCAGAGTGGTATCATCTGCATATCTGAGGTTGTTGATATTTCTTCCGGCAATCTTAATTCCAGCTTGAGATTCATCCAGTCCAGTCTTTCGCATGATGTATTCTGCATTTAAGTTAAATAAGCAGGGAGACAATATACTGTACTGTACAGCCTTTCTCCATAATCCACCGCATGTTAGCAATTTGGTCTCTAGTTGCTCTGCCCCTTCAAAATCCAGCTTGTACATCTAGGAGTTCTCGGTCCACATACTGCTGAAGCCTACCTTGTAGGATTTTGAGCATAACCTTGCATTGGGCACCCCCAAAGATTCCTCTACAAGAAATGTGGCCTTTAACAGAAAAAAATTCTTTATACAGTACTTGCTTCAAAGGATTCCTTTTACAGTGGTGTGGATAACAGGAACTCCTTTCTGAAGCTCTGCTACTTCCCTCATCAAAATCTCCTCCCCCCACCCTCACAACTGTTATTTTTAACCCACCAGGGAAATCAAGCAGGCATCTGTCTTCTTTCCTGCTCTGGCTGTAACATCACTTTGGTGGTGGTGATGGTGGTCTTTATATCTGGGAAACAATGCAAAAAGAAAATTGTTAACTGTCTTCCTCCAACTCTAATCAATATCAGATTTCACTTTGGGGTCTTCCAGGAGGACCATTTGTGCTCCTAAATAAATCTGATCCTGTACTGATGTTGTCCATTCACATGGCATTCTCCTCAACCCAGATAGTACACTGATATTTTCCATGGCTTTCATTGGGCTTTTGTGTCCCTCCTGCAAAGCATAGTTTATTTTTGTCATGATTTGTTCTGGGGAGTGAAATTTAGTGCAATGGCACTTCCCATTTTTAAGTTGTTTCCTTGACCAGAGCCTACTTTTGGTCACTTCAGCTACTTTTGATTAGTTCATGCTAATCAGGTATCTGATCAGTATCTGAGGAATGAGCCTTGATAGGGCTGGTCAAACTGATTTGTGCAAAAGCAAACTAAACAGTGTTCATGTGGGGGGAAAAGGACACACCCTTGACAGGATCTTTGATTCCTGCTACTTTGGTATTTTCTTAAACTATTTCATTTAAACAATGCTTCTCTTAATTTTCTTTGGGACATCAGCATATGGCTGACTGCCTCCCTGCAAATGGAACTGCTACCTGTACTTCATCGGTAGGATGAATGAGGTTGCCAACCGCTAGAGAGGCCCGGAAAGAACAAGAACCCAGGCCTTCTCTGTGGTTGTCCCTCAACTGTGGGGAAAAAACTTCCCTCCAAAATTTACCTGCCCCCTATCTTGCTAACTTTCAATAAATCCTTGAACACTTTCTTATTCAGGCAGGCTTTTCTAACTATTCCATCTAATAGCCTCTGAGTATACATATTTAATACCTATTGCTGCTGCCAGTTTTAATTATTTTATATACTGATTAATGTAATTTATTGTAACTGTTTTTTGTTTTTTGTTTTGCTGTTCATTTTATTGTAGGATGTTATTGTATTAATTTATTATGTTGGTGTTTCATGAATACTGATTGTGCTTTTGTTCTCTTCTGTGCACTGCCCAGTGTGACCTCTGACCAGATGAGTGGTATAAAAGCGTAAAATAAAATAAAATAAAATAAAATAAAATAAAATAAAATAATAATAATAATGGAATTGTCTAGAGTCCCATTCTGGTGAAGAAGGCAGGAGAGAAAGAATAATTTACTGTTACATTTCCAGTCCTGTTTTAAAATTAAATAAAATGGTGTTACAGTTCCTGTGACCAGAGAGAGGCTTATGATCTGCAAAGGCCCTTTTAGTGACACCTCACAATTGTTGTGACAGGGAAATTATGATGTCATCATAAAGTGGAACCTTATGACATCGTATGACAGTTAGAGAAAGAGTGTATGATTTGAGCATAAGAAAGTGTGTAGCTGATTCAGACAAGGACTAAATGGGGCTAGTGATGAAACAGAAGCTTTTGCCTTAGAATCAGAGACTGGTGATCATCTTCCTCTTAAGACTAAATCTGTTATGGTAAGAGATTTACAGTAAGGTATTCTAAGTTTGCATCACAAGGGGAAAATTTCAAAAACCAGAAGCCTGTATCGGTTTCTAAACTTGAGGTGGATTTGAGTAAATAGCAGGGAAAATTAGGCAAATAGGACTTTAAAAATAGGGATGGCCATCCTTTGGTTTTCCAGATGGTTTGGGTTACAACTCTCATATTTCTTTACCATTGGCTATGTTGTGTGAGACTTCTGGGAATGCCTCAAAACCACTGGAAAGCCACGAGATTCCCCATCTCTGATTTAAACCACTGGGACTTTTAGACATGCTTAACATTGACTAGATCAGACTTTAAGGTCTTAAATCATGCAAACCTCTTTGACAATGTCATCTTTCTTGAGTCATTCTTGTAAAGATGATTACTGTTACTCCTGCTTAATCACAAGCTTCCTGCGTTCCTCCAGCCTCTGATCTGAACCTCTGATCTATTTCAGGAACCCTCCAGAGAGCCCCATTCATCATCAGAATTCTCCAACTTTGAGACTGAGTCAGTGCATCACACAGACAAGGAGATTCAAGCAGATCTGGATCATACCAGCAATTTGGAGGGATCTGAATATTCTTCTCAAGAAGGCAATGCCTTGTTCAAGGATGTAAATTCAGGAATTGAGTTTGCTGTGCAGATAATGCCTGTTAAAGATTCCAAGATACACAGGGAAAAGATGGTAAGCAGGAGATGAGTGTGATGCACAGGGGAAGGAAGTTATTGCTGGGGGCCTGGCTCTAGTGTCAGGCAAATGAAGTTGGCTGTCTTAGCTTTTGAGCATCCTGAAAAGACAACCAACTGTTATTTGAGAAAGCTTTGGATTAGCTGGGTCCAAAGCCACTGGTGTTCCTTGAGAGGCCATTACTTGCACTAATCTGCAGATTGCATAAATAATTTTATCCACATGGAAACGGGTGAGGGGTGGGGAACTAAAAAACAAAATTAAACACTGAAGAATGCTTAGCCAACGCCTGCTCCCCACCCCCATCTTGTCCTTGCTGCCACAGTCTTGAAAGTGGCAAATTCCTTTCCTTTCCCAGTTTGATTAGTATGGCCTTGGACTTTAGGATTGCACTGAAGAAAATACAGCAAAATTCCCCCTTGTTCCTACCTGCTAGCAAAATTTTGTGCTACTGCACATACCAATATATTGGTAGGTTCTGAAGCACACGAACTTATAATAATTGTCACGTGACTTATATGCTCAGGCAGCTGGGTCAACCTATATCAATTCACTGTTGCTATCTCCTTCAGGAGCAGATCCTTTGTAAACCTAATGATTCTTAATTCTCCATTCAAGACAATGCTATCCCAAAAGACATTACACCACAACATGGACAGCTCTCAGTTATAGTGTTACTGGGAAAACCCAGCTGATGGGAGAATTGCAGCTAAGCTCAGAAGAAATTGGGGGGTGGGTGGTTATAAGTGATTTCCCCTGCTCATCAAAGTGTCCTGAAGCTTTGGCCTACAGGACCCTGTCTCCATATACCGGCCCAAGGTTGGGGAACACTGGCCTACAGGACCCTGTCTCCATATATCACTAAATGTCACGTGCAAATGTCACTGCTTTTTCCAATATATCCCATCCACACAACTACAGGATCCAGATGCTCCGGCCTCTTCATATACCCTCGATGATTTGACAGAGACCCTAGATAATAAGAGTCAAACAGGGAAGCTGGCAGTCAGCACTCAAAGAGGGACCAGCGTTTTGCAACAGGAAGCATACTCCCGGATCTGTGTGGCCAGCAGTTTGGAGGGAATGGAACAACTGGACAGCAGGCAGACCAAGGCAGCTGATCATGACCTGGAGAAGATGAGGCTGGAGGGTGCACTGACCAGGATGAGGTGCAGATACAACAATAAAGAACGACGACGCCGGCACGATGAAAGAACGGAAGAGATGCGTCGCCAGACTGTTTCTCAATCTGTAAGTGGGGTGGAAACAAAGGAGAAACAATCCGAGCTGGGAAATTTAGTTGTGTGGCCCACAGATCCCAGAAAGACCCAGTGGCCATGTTTGCTGGGGCATTCTGGGTGTGGTAGTTCAACAAAGGAACTTTCACAAGCAATGAGAACAATATAACATTCTGGTTGGTAAAAAATGAAAGACAGACGCCAAATAAGCTAAACTGGGGACAATCCTTTATGAAGTGGCTACTCAGGCAGCAGGCTTGGAATAGAGAAGCAAAGTTATTTGCTTTACTCTGTTATAATTGTAATTTTATTGCCAGGTATGGAGGAAAGGGGTACTTGTGACATTTTCTGCCTTGTGTATCAAAATTAATCTGCCTGGCTTTGGAGTGGAAAGCTGTTGCTGCTTTTTCCCAGGCACAAAATGTCTTGGACCAGCATTGGGCTGACCTGTGAATTCATTCATTCATTCATTCATTCATTCATTCATTCATTCATTCATTTATTTATTTATTTATTTATTT